CTCAAAAATTTGAAAAAAAGCCCCTAAATGTGTCCCCCCCCCCAATTAAAAAGTTACAAAGTGTCATAAAATCCGAAACCCCCTAGGTCTAAATATGTGAGGTGATTTGCGAACGACCCCTGAGTTATTTTTAAAATAATTGCAGATTCTTCTATAAAATAGTGGGAGGTAGTGAGGTAGTTAAACCCTTTTCTCTGCCACCACTGTCCTGTAACACCAAAAATTTTAAGTATTATTTTATGTTATTTTTTAAAATTTAATTATTTATAAAAACATTTTAATAAAACTTTGTATAATTTCAGTAATAAAATAAATATAAGCAAATTTTAGAATTTAATAGTAATATTTGTATATTGTGTAATACTTTTCGAAATAACAAAAATATTTCGAAATAACAAAAATATTTCAAAGAAATTCAAAAGTAAAAAATTTTTTTCGGTAATATTTTCAGAATTTCAATATTACAAAAATATTTCGAAGCAAATTTTACAATTTCGAAGGTAAAAAAATTTTTCGGTAATATTCTCCGATTTTCGAAATCGCAAATATATTTCGAAGCAAATTTTACATTTTCGAAAGTAAAAAATTATTTCGACAATATTTTCAGAATTTTGAAATCGCAAAAATATTTCGAAGCAAATTTTACAATTTTGAAAGTAAAAAGTTATTTCGATAATATTTCCAGAATTTCGAAATCGCAAAATTATTTCGAAGCAAATTTTGTAATTTCGAAAGTAAAAAACCGTTTCGACGCAAAATTAATTACTTAAAAATTATTTCGAATTTACCGAAACGAAAATAAAGTTTCGAAAACTTTTTTTTTAAACGAAAATTTAACTTTGGCTTTTGTGAACAACCCTACTTTAAATAAAGGAAGTCTAATGCACCACCTCTACCCCCCCCCCCCCCCACCTGACAAAAAATAACGTCATCTTCATTTCAATAATCAAATGTATTGTTAAAAAGAAAAAATAATCTTTTATAACTATACAACATACATTAGTATTGAAAATATTGTTGTATTACATGAAGCAATATTTTTTTTCTATAGAATATACATTAGTGGTGTACAATTTGAGGAGAGGGATGGTTTTCCCCCCTTCCCCTCAACCAACGTAAAAAAGAAAACACATAGAAATAATATTTTCAACATTTTCGCATGCAATTATTAAAAAAAGAAAGCACAATACAGAATTGTTTTACCAGATTGCACGAGTATACACTTTCTCATTAAAATGATCATATTTAACCAACCAACCTTATAAAAAACAAACAAAAAAAAAAACAAATGTTTCGAAACATAGTAATTAATTTATGTCTTGGCTTTTAGTAAATTATTTAAATTAAGTTCCAATGCAACTAAATAAATCATTTTTAACAATAGACACCACGTGAAGGTAAGCCAGAGCCGTCTATCTTTTTTTTTTGCAAGCCACAAAACTTGCTATACCTATTTGCAAGCCACAAAACTTGCGGTACACATTTGCAAGCCACAAAACTTGCTGTACCTATTTGCAAGCCACAAAACTTGTGGTACTTAATTGCAAGCCATAAAACTTGCGGTACTTATTTGCAAGCCACAAAACTTGCTGTATCTATTTGCAAGCTACAAAACTTGCTGTACCTATTTGCAAGCCACAAAACTTGACTTAATTATTATACTAACTATTTAAAAAAAAAATTACAAAGTTGTAAAAAAAAATCAATATTGCAAATAACAAGAAATGCATATACATATTAAATGTAATAGTTTATTAAATTACTAGTTGCAGCAGATGACTAAGGAACTAAAGTTAAACATATTATAAAGTTTGCATAGTAAAAGCTAATAGTTGTTTAACTTACCAGGTGTAGCACAAGAGGTAGATACTAAAATTACAAAGTTGTAACAAAAAATCAATATAGCAAATAACAAGAAATGTATATACATATTAAATGTAATAGTTTATTAAATTACTAGTTGCAAAAGATGACTAAGGAACTAAAGTTAAACATATTATAAAGTTTGCACATTAAAAACTAATAATTGTTTAACTTACCAGGTGTAGCACAAGAGGTAGATACTAAAATTACAAAGTTGTAACAAAAAATCAATATTGCAAATAACGAGAAATGCATACACATATTAAATTTATTATTTTTTTAAATTACTAGTTGCAGCAGCTGACTAAGGAACTAAAGTTAAACATATTGTAAAGTTTGCAAATTAAAAATTAAGAGTTATGTAACTTACCAGGTGTAGTACAAGAGGTAGATACTAAAATTAAAAAATTAATATTGCAGCAAATGGGAAATCCATACACGACAAGTAATAAATAAATAAGTAAGAAATGCATATTTGTTTATATTTATTTAATGGTTAATTAAAGTTATGCTATAATAACTTACCAGCTGTAGTCTGTGCAAATTGGCCTAAAGATAACAAAAAAGTTATATAATCAAAAAAAAAAAACATCTTGAAATTGTCAACAGTCAATAAAAATAACAGTTATCAAATCAGTTCTGCTTTACGTACAACAACCTATGTAACTAAAAAAAAAGCAATAAAAAAAATAATAAAAAACATAAATTATATTACTGTATTTTAAAATTATATTACTGTATATTAGAAAAACACTAACAAGATACTTTTATAAGAATAAACATATTATTGTAAAAGTATCATTATAATTTTACAAATATAAGCTTATTAATAATAAGCTTATTCATATAAAAATATCAATAATAATAATAATAATAATAATATTTTAAAATATCAATAATAATATTATTCTTAAAATATCAAAAAAATCATAATATTATTCTAAAAAAATAATGTTATTCTAAAATTATCATTAATAATATTATTCTAAAAATATTTTGTCAAAAACTGTATTGGCTTAAGCCAATAAAGTTTTACTTTAAAGTATAATAATGTCATTTGTATATTTTTATATATATGGTGTATTAACAACATTGGCATCTGATACTATTAGTTAATAAAATATTCCAAAGTAACGGTTTAATCTTAAATCCTAATCTTTTTTAATATATACTATCATTGGTATAACTTATGCCAAAGATTAAGGTTTTTAAACTTATACTATAAGTTTAAAAACCTTAATCTTTGTTTACATATCATCATGATGATGATATGTAAACAAAGATTAATGTTTTAAAACTTATAACTTTTTTAAAAAACAAAACAATAATGATAAGTTTAAAAACCTTAATCTTTGTTTACATCATGATGATGTAAACAAACTTTGTTATTATCATGAAAAACAAATTAACTTACTTTTTGAAGTCTTCTTTGTTATGACTTTTACCATTTTTTATTTATTAAAATAATCTAATATTAAAAATTAAATAATACAAGGTAGTTAGAATTTTTTTGTTTACCATTCGCCACCCCGAATTTTCTCTTACCGATAAAATAAAAACAAAAACAAAAAAAACCGAATTTAGGTACCAAAAGTCCTACACTTCTTATACAATCTGCTCCCTAATATTTTTGGCTGAAATTTGGCATGTACAAATAAAATGCATGCAAAAAAGTTCCTGAATAACAAAAAAAGCGGAAACTTCATTCCTTCGATAAGAACTTAATGTGAAAACATCAACGAAATTTTCATGAAAGTTTTTAGCAAAACTAACCATAAAAAAGTTTAGTGGTTATAAATAAAAGTACTATAAAAATCAAGCCTAACCTTTCTTCTTTCCAAATATACTTTTTGTTTATATATGTTTCTAAAAAAAACACCACTAAAAACGTTAGTCTAACCCTCCTTCAAAAAAGCAGTATATTTAAAAAAGCACCTCGTTACATATCTGCTCCCTAATATTTTTCGTTGAAAGTTGGCACATAAATAGAAAATACATGTATAAAGGTGGCTGAACAATCAAAAAAGCGGAAACTTCATGCCTTCGACTACAAATTTATGTGAAAACATCAACCAAATATTCAGGAGCAAAATAATCCGTTAAAAAGTTTAGTAACCATACATAAAAGTTTAAAAAAAATAAAGATCAGCTTCTCTTCTTTCCAAAAAGTATCTATGTGTATATATGTTTCTAAAAAGAAACTCCACAAAACTACGTCTACCCCACGCTGCCTAAAAAAAAGTGAAAAAAACGAGTCACAAGATTTTATCACAAAAATCGGTTCCGTAAATGACGTAAATGCGCGTACCTAATATATATATATATATATATATATATATATATATATATATATATATATATATATATATATATATATATATATATATATATATATATATATATATATATATATATATATATATATATATATATATATATATATATATATATATATATATATATATATATATATATATATATATATATATATATATATATATATATATATATATATTAGGTACGCGGAAATCGCGATTTACGGAACCGATTTTTATGCTAAAATTTTGGTTCTCGTTTTTTTCACTCTTTTTTATGCAGCGTGAGGCAGACGTAGTTTTAAGTAGTTTCTTTTTAGAAACATATATAGACATAGATACTTTTTGGAAAAAAGAAAAGTTAATCTTGATTTTTGAAATACTTTTATGTATGGTTACTAAACTTTATTATGGAATATTTTGCTCCTGAATATTAGGTTGATGTTCTCTCATGAATTTGTGGTCAAAGAAAGTAGAGTCTGCTTTTTTTATTATTAAAATAGCTTGTTTCATGCATTTTCTATGCACATGCCAAATTTCATCAAAAAATAAGGATAAGCAATTAGTCTAATTAGTGTTATACCAAGTATACCACTTTTTTCAGGTAGCCCTAGGCAAACGGTTTTTTGAGGTGGTTATTTTTAGAAACATATATTAACCTTGACGACTTTTGAAAGAAGAAAGATTTGGCTTGATTTATATAAACTTTTGTGTATTGCTAACATACCTTTTTATGGAGTATTTTGCTGAGAATTTTGCATGGAAATTTGGCTGATGTTGTAACATAGATTTGTAGTTGAAGAAATGTAGAGTCTTCTTTTTTTATTATTAAAATAGTTTTTTTCATGCATTTTCTATGAACATGCCAAATTTCATCAAAAAATAAGGATAAGCAATTAGTCTAATTAGTGTTGGACTTTAGGTACCTAATTTCGATTTTTTTGTTGTTGTTTTTTTTGGTAAGCAAAATCCCGTAGGCGCCGAAATCCGGATAAGGGGGCGTTTCAACTAAAAATCTTATTTTGAATTATTGTGATATATATTATTAGATTTAAAAAAATATGGCAACATATAGCAAGAGTGTGTTAGATGCCCTAACAGAAAGTAAGTTCAATTTTTTTTTATTCCTAATAATAGTATTAATAACTTTTTAACTCCAAAAAATAATGATTAATGTAAAACCTTCATTGTTTTTTATGTAACATATTAAAAAAGATTAATGTTTAAGATTAAAACTGTTGGTATTCATTGAATAATTCATAGTCACAGTTTTAATTTTTTTAAACACTAAAAATTTTTTTTGTTAGGCTTACACTAATGCAGTATGTAATTTACTCATTTATATGTGGTTTATAATAGCCTATTAAAACTGATTGTCACTTGTTAGATTCAGTTCACAATTTATTAAAACATTACATATAAACAATTTTATTACATACTTCATTACGTTAATCTTAACAAAAAGCTTCTTATTGTTTTTAAAATATAACAAAAGATATCATTATTATTGTCTTTTACCATATTTGGATTATATACTTCTTTATCTATGGATTAGTGTTTAAATCATTATACAAGCAAGTCTAATATTTATTTCTTGTTTAGATCCTGCCCAGCTTTTTGTTGATTTTTTGAAGTTTCGTAAGTATAAATCACATAAAGTTTAAATTTAATATTCACTAAGAGATAAAGTATACAATAAGTAAATATTAATAAACATTTATAATATCTTCCTATCTATAGTAAGTCTTAAAAAAACTAGAGTTAATTTTTTTACTTATTGTATATCATCTTTTTATGTGTTTATTGTTTACATAAGTTTATAACCATTCCTAATGTTAACTTGTTGCTTATAAATATATTATCTTTATATTTTAATAGTTATATTTAGTTGTTTATTTTCATTTTTTTAGTATAGTTGTTGCATCTTAAGTAGAAAATCTTTTAACTTTAGTACAGCTTTTAACATTTGTAACTTACTGTTGACAATTTTAAATTATTTTGTGCACAAAGTTTTTGTTATTTTTAGTCGAATCTACACAGCCCATCACTGGTAAGATTTTATCAGTTTGTATATGCTAATGATTATAGAATTAACTATTACTTTTTATTCTGTAAATAAATTTGAAAGATTACCCATTTCAAAGTCATTATTTGCAATATTTGTTTCTTATTACAAATTTTGAATTTAAGTTACATTTTTGTCTTCAACAAATGGTAAATTTAACAATTATTACTTTTTAATATGTGTATATATTTTTGATGACTGCAGTATAAATTTTTTATTAAATAATTCTTAACCTTAGTTCCTTCTACATCTGCTATAAGAGGGTATGTTAACTAATTTTTACTTTTCAAAATGTTTATACATATCTTGGCAATTTCAGTAATTATTTTTAATTACAACTTTGATAATATTTAGTTACATCTTCAGCACCTACTATTATGCTAATAATTATAGAATTTAATAATTATTAATTTAACAATTATTACTTCTTAATATGTGTATATATATTCCTGATGAATGCAATAAAAATTTTTTATTAAATCATTTTTAACCTTAGTTCCTTCTACATCTGCTATTTGTGGTATGTTTACAAGTTTCTACTTTTTAATATGTTTATGCATATCTTGGCAATTACAGTATTTATTTTTAATCACAACTTTGATAATTTTAAATTTTTATTGACATTTTTTGCAAGTTTGAATGAGAAGGGGAGGGGGGCGTTGGGTGTAGCACACATTCCTAACTGTACTAACATATTATAACAATCTTGAATACTTGTTTCTCTTTTCCAATAAACTTAATTTAAAACTATTTTTCAAATATCTTTTAAAATTTTTTTTAGGTTGGATACAACTGGGCAGGAAGGGGGGCGTTTGGCGTGGCACATGTCCCGTCCCTTATGTCAACTTATACACCACTTGTATATGCTGTAAAGTAAGAAAATTTAATTTAAAATTTTTCATACAAAATATAATCATTGTTTTTTAGGTTCAAATATTTATAACAATGTAGCATTTCACTACGAGGGTGTTAAAACGTAACAAAGACATCAACACTTCAATCTAAAATAGACCACTAATATTTGGAAATGGATTGGAAGCAAATTGGAACAATTTTTTGTGTATAAAGATGACATATTTTATCAGAAAAACACTCTTTCGTGTGAAAAACTTGTCTTTTTTTAAGGGTACGAGGGTGTTCCGGTACCCCCTCCGGTCCTCTAGACGCCCCTTTCATCTATAGAGTTATATAACTTGTAATATATATATATATATTTAAATATATATATATATATATATATATATATATATATATATATATATATATATATATATATATATATATATGTTTATATAAATATATATATATATATATATATATTATATATATATATATATATATATATATATATATATATATATATATATATATATATATATATATATATATATATATATATATATATATATATATATATATATATATATATATATATATATATATATATATATATATATATTTATACATATTCATAAAAAATATATATACATTGCCTAATATAAATATTGTTTATCCTAATATATATATATATATATATATATATATATATATATATATATATATATATATATATATATATATATATATATATGTATATATATATATATATATATATATATATATATATATATATATATAATATATATATATATTAGAAAAAATAATATTTATATTATGAAATATATATATATATATATATATATATATATATATATATATATATATATATATATATATATATATTATAAATATGTATAAATATATTTTATTATAAGATAAATAAAATCTTTCAAAAAAATTTAATAACCAATTTATGTACCTTTTAGTTCTTAATTATCTTATGCTGTGTGCTAGAAGGTTAATAACACAACTGCATGATACGCAGCTTAGTATCTGTTTAATATGAATCAGTCTTAAAAAAATTTGTTTTAAACAGATACTTGTAATGTACATATGCTGCATGAACTATTAGCTGAGCTCTGTGAGTACACACAACTCAGAATTTCCTTCTAGAGTTTGTTATCATTAATTATTTTAGTTTAATTTTAATAGATTTTTCTTTTAATACAAATAAATATACTAATTATATTCACACACATAAATATACTCACCTAGTACATTTAAGTGTATGTATATATATATATATATATATATATATATATATATATATATATATATATATATATATATATATATATATATATATATATATATATATATATATATATATATATATATACATATATACATATATATATATATATATATATATATATATATATATATATATATATATATATATATATATATATATATATATATATATATGTTTTGTGCATATACCATCAAGGTGTTTAATGAACAGAGCTATAATATAGAAGAAAATAAAACTATGTGTTGCAATCATCAGGTGAGAAATACTTTTCATTTTTATTTCACCTGATGATTGCATCAGCATGAAACTTAATGTTGTGAAATTTGCATGAAATTCTTTTTATTTTCTACTATATATATATATATATATATATATATATATATATATATATATATATATAAATGTTTGTATGTATATTATATATATGCATATATAACTCCTGATAAGTCGTAACCTTTAAGTGTCCGAGCAAATACTGGAAGTTCAACTTTTTAAAGGTTTGATATCAGGAGTTTACTGTGTATATATCGATGGCATAGTGCACAGATGTGGTAAGTGCAAGATTAAAAATTGTTGAAGCTGTCATTTGCACGAGTAATTATAATAAGAAGAGTTTTTCTATTTACCACATATTGTCAATTATTAGACTCTTTATCGTTTATCGTACACATACCATATGTATGCACGATAAACTATAAATAAAAACAGGTTTTTCTGCGTACTTATCTTAATTTGACCAAAATTTGTACTTACCATATCTGTGCACTAAAATGGTATACTAAAAACAAATGTTTTCATTGATTTTTGAATAAGACAAATTTAATCAACTGCTTCCTAAACTTTTTTCCAGTCATTTTGTTATTTACTTCTTTGCGTAGCTGATGAAAGTGTATTTTTGAGTAATTTTTTGAAATAACTTTAATCAGTGAAAATAAATGCTTATCATTTAAAGACGAATTAAGCATATGATGAGTTAGTTCTGTGAATACTTTTGATAAATCAACTGATCTCAAAACAACACTTGCATTTGCATTTGTAATTCCTATATCATTAGACAGGGTAATATTAGTTGATTTAAGAAACATTTGGAAACATCTTTCTGTTCCTTCGCATACCAAAACAACACTTTTGCTTGGTTTAACTAAACCTCCTCTAGAGAATTTATTCTTAATAAAATGTAACATACATATGCTACATCTTATAAAATGTAAATCTAATAAAATGTAACATACATATGTTACATACTATGTATGTGTTAAACTGTCAATAATTATCCTTCAAACTTTGAGGAATAATTATTCACAGTTGAGTTTGACAATGACTTCTAAGTCATTAAGAGATTATTTTTTACTTTGGAATATAAATATTGTTTAATATTTTCACTGATTATTGAGTCCAGAAAGTTAATGCATTAAATAATAAAATGACTTTTATAATCCTAGAAGGAACCTCTGAGTTGTGTGTACTCACAGTTCCCAGCTAATAGTTCATACAGCATTTGTACAATGTTTCTACCTACAAAACTCATGATTTTAAAATTCTTTAAAGATTGTAGATAGACAACATTGCTGCTTACCATACAGTTGTGTTATTAACCTTCTAGCACACAGCATTGGGTAATTAAGAACTAAAAGGTATATAAATTATAAACCTTATTTAAAAAGTGTATACTAGCTGAATATTTTAATAATTAGGAATCAAATAAATTTATTTCGCGATCTTATTTTCCTTAAAAATAGTTTACTTTTCTTATTCGGTCAGAATTTTTATACGAAATTTCAATTCGCTAACAGTTCTAACAGACGCCATCTTGGTAGGCCAAAATTGGCTTCAACTTTTTTTACGAAAAACAATAGAATACGCTATCCAGTTATTATTTTGAGATCAGTGACCTCTGTGTTTTATACAAAATCTCAAAAACATTGTTGCATTTCTGAATTAAAATTATAAACATGTGGTCCACAACAGTCCGGAAAACTTTTGGGACGATAAAAAAGTATTTTATAAAAGAGTATTTTATCGGCCTAATGTTAACTTCAAAATTATGACTTATAAAGGTCGCCAATTAGCTGAATCAGAAATTAAGAACTTCATAAATGAGCTAGAAAACAGTAAAAATGACGATTACGAAGATGGTTAGTGGCATTAATGTCTATCAAAAGCAAAGTTACAAAATGTCTAGATTTTGAAAAGATTCTGAATCAATTTATGTATGAAAAATCAAGGAAAAAAATATACTAATTTGGATGCATGTAAGTTTTAACTGTCTATATTTATTTCATACTTTCTTAAATATTTTTTGTAACCATAGAAGTACTTAAAACTTTAGTTAAGTGGACTTACATATGAATCTCTAACTTGAAAAAAAGGGAAATGTCCTGCAAAAATTCACACAACATGTCCCCTTTTTCAAGTTAGGCTAATTTGTTTTAATAAAAAATAACATAATCATGGAAAATTAAATTCTAGTTCAAACTTTTGAAATGTATAAAAACATTAAATAAGCAATAAATATAATTAAGTAAAATATATGAATCGCTAACTGTTAGCGATTCATATATTTTGCTAAATTATATTTATTGCTCATTAAATACTTTTATACATTTCAAAAGTTTGAACTAGAATTTAATTTTTCATGGTAATGTTATTTTTTATTAAAACAAGTTATTGCCATTATCTTTAAATTATTGCTCTAAGATATTTTTAAAAACTTCAATGTTTTTTTTTGATTGATTTCTACTAAATAACTAAAAGTTAAGTTTTAAACTTATATTCATTTATTTCCAAAAAGTTATTTAAATTACAAAATTTCAATATTTTTGATTACATTTTACAGTGTGATAAATAGAGTGCTCGAAGTAAAATCCGTGCTATTTTAAAAACATGTAAAGAAAAACAATGCCTTTTTAACTATGTTTTTTCTAAAATAAAATGTTTTAAATTAGAGTATTTTTTTTCTAAATGTAAAATATTTTTACAATTTTTATACAGATAATCTTCTTGGTGGATGCGACGTCTGATTTTGAAAGCTATCAACCCGGGTTAATTTCTGGGTAGCTGGTCATTGGTCAACTCAAGCTTTCATCCCTCAGGGTTCGATAAATGAGGACACATTTATTCGTTCACATAATTTTTTGACAAGGGGGCCCCAAATTGTGTTGTGTCTATAGTTCCTGTTGTTCTAGATCGGGCCCTGGGTGCAAGCATACATAAGTGTGATTTAGTTTGAAGTGTTCTAAAGTTGTGCACTTCTTTATAATAAATGAATTTAACAAAAATGAATAAACTGCCGAGCCGATCAAGAAGTTTTTGTGTGGTCAAAGATTCTGCCACTTCCGCCTACCCCTACCCCCATGCTCTTATTAGGGCCCCAAAATCTTAAAAACCTATAATTATGCACAGTCAATTACAAGCGTTATGTTTATGAGCGCATGTTCAAAAAGTTCATAAGAAGTTTGAGAGATTTTAAAATGGCTGCAGATCTTAGCTACATAATCTTTTTTATATAACAACTTTTTTTTAATTTTGGTTTTGTAAAAATTAATGCTGCAACTTATTTATTAAATTCATGGCGGATGGAGTATTTGGACCTAAAGTTGTTTAAAGTATTCAAACTTAGCACCCAATTTTTTCATAAATGAAATAACATCAATAAAACTGTATTAAACCAGCAATATATTTTTCTAAAGTCAAATAGATTGTAATAGTAAAAAGCAAATTTCTTTTAATTTAAATTTTATTTCTCAAACATACTACAAACACTCTAATATGATATTTTATATATACTTATAATTTATGAACCAATAATTTTTTATGAATATCTAATCTAAAAACCAGAAATTTAAAATAATTTACTTTCAAGAATGTCACTCTATTTCTAATATTCTTTTCTTTCTATCCAAAATTATCAAGTTGTGTGCTCTTGTTCATCTATTAAATTGTTTATTTGTCTAAAATCACACACAAGTTACCCTACCTCTTTCAATCTGTAATTTCTTTACTTCTATAAAAAATTCTCAATATTATTTTTTATCATTTAGCAACCTTAAATTATATATTCTAAATCATTGTTCAGTTAAGTGCAGCATAACATATCACATCACAAACCAATGCATGAAATCATGAAATAATTTATCATTTTTTATTCATAGAATAATTTGTTTTTTATATTCACTTTATATCACTAAACTTTACTACTAAAACTCATCTTTATGTCTTTTTATTTTGGAGAAATGTAATTACTGTTCATAAAATGTTACGGTCATTGTGGGTTATTATTATTGCTTTTGGTATGATTATATGTAATAGAAATATCAGCATTAATTTACTTCTATTCATATCACTTTTACTTACTTATTGTTATTGTTTAATATTAAATTTAATAATTATAAATATTATTATTGTTATTATTATATTAATATAAGTATAAATGTTAACATTGCTTACCTCGTTATAATTGTTTTAATATTGTTATTGCTATTACTGTATAATTGGTTTTTACTTAAGATTAGTATAAGTACTATTTCTAAATATCGATGTGTATGTTGCATACATACACATATATGACATATATGTGTGTGTTTTCTTTTAAGCAATTGCAAGTTTCCAAATACATGCAAAGTAAAGTAAGTAAAGAAAACAATACTTTTCAATAAGTAAATTTAGTATTATTAATTAATTTAATTTTTTACATTTTTTATACTTATTTTAATTGATCTAAGTATAGAATTTTAATTTATTAACCTGGGTACATAAATTTCCAGTTGAGAGAGTTGATAGAGTTGCAGCATTTTTAGAGAAATATTAATATTTCCCTAATGTGATTTTTTTTTTTGTAATGGTGTTTTAAAATCACAAATCCTTTTTAAAGTGAGAAGGTATTTTCAAAACTGCCATGTCCTCTAATGGGTTATTCTATAAGATTTTCTGCTTTATAAAGTTGTATGCTTTTTTTATTACTATTATTTAATTTAGATTGTTGGCGACATAGCTCATGTATTAAAGTCTTCTGTCACAGTTGACTCAGCAAGAATGAAGACATCAATACACTTTTGCATTATGGAATACACAAGTTGGCAGTTCCTCGCCCCACTGCCACCCAAATACAGGAAAGTATGCATGCATACACAATTCTCAAAATTAGAGGGAGTAATAAATTTTCGACCTTAAACTGCTTTAGGTTGGCATCAGATTACAATCGGCAAACATTTTTACAAAGGCTTTACTATAAAAGATAATATATATATATATATATATATATATATATATATATATATATATATATATATATATATATATATATATATTGAGTTAGTTAAATTTATTTTTAAAAAATCCTTATCTGTACGTAAGTTTTTCATTTTCTGACTTCGTGATGGAACTTATTGGAATACACTTGTCATGGACATGGGAGGAGTATTGCCGCTACATGCATGAACAATAATAAAACATTCCAAAAAACAATTTGTTATTTCAACGATTAGATTTGTTGTTTAAATGTATAAAAGCTTTTGGAATATTTTTATTATATATTATCCTAATTTCAAAAATAATGTTTCATTTTTCCATAGAAAAAGTACTTTTGTGATATTGTTTTATAGTTCAGGGAAAATATTATTGAAACAAAAAAATAGAATCTTATTTTAAATAAAAATAACATTGAAACAATTAAAAAATGATTTTTTTTAAGAAATATTAATTTTTGAAACAAGAAAAAAATACATAATTTTAAGAATATAAGTTCTTGAAATAAGAAAAAAAGGTTTTGAAACAACAAAAAAAAGCTCTTGTTTAAAGAATAAAAATTCTTGAAACAAGAAAAAAAGTTCTTATATTAAGAATAAAAATTCTTAAAGCAAGAAAAAAATTCTTATATTAAGAATGAAAATTCTTGAAACAAGAAAAAAATTCTTGAAACAAGAAAAAAAAATCTTGTTTTAAGAATAAAAATTCTTAAAAAAAAAAAATATTTAAGAAAAAAAATTCTTATTTTAAGAATAAAAATTCTTGAAACAAGAAAAAATATTCTTACGTGGCAGACAAGTCATTTTTTTCTTGTTTTAAGACTTTTTTTGATTAAAACAAGAATTTTGGATTTTGCTGTGTAGTTTTAATAAAAAAACAAGAATTGTGTGTGTCATCATTCACCACAAAGCTACCACCAGGGTCGTCCCAAACGGGGGGTGTCTTACCCCTAAAGCTGTCATATAAGCATTTAAGTTGGCACATTAAGCTAGAGAGCCTATATACTGAGTATATAGGCTCTCTACATTAAATAATTTTTAAACTATAGTTGACAAATTACAAACTATAAAACAATTTTTTTGTGTGTGTATCTCTCTAGTTGACAAAAGTACATTCACCCCCCCCCCCCCATAGAAGACCTCTTCGTGACGGCCCTGACTACCACCATTCTGTCTTCAACTGCAATCTCCTCCATAACGGTTTCCTATTTTGCTGTAGCCCCCAGCACTCCTGTTAGGAGGATGATAAGCCCGGTTTCTGGAACTATCACAAAAATGAGCAATTGCTAGTCGGTCCATGTTGCTGATACATATATCTCCGGTATGCACCATACGTAAGCTCTAAATGACAAAGGATCGTAAATAGTTATGTACTGAATGGTACCAAAATGAACTACTAATAAATAAACCACAGCTTTAAAAAATGTTAATCTAAGTAAAAAGTTAAATTCTTTGAGAATTTTACTTCTTCTGCACTTTAAGGAATGACATAAAACAAATTTTTAAATACTGTATATAAATAGAAATGTTATGAATTTAATAATCATTCAGAAACAAAATCTAAATTATAAACTTACCAGCAGAAGGCTGAGCAGGTTGTGGAGAATGTTGTGGAGAGGTTGAGAGGTTATTGTGGAGAATGTTGTGGAATTAAAAGTAAAAAAAGTTGTAATAAAATAAAATTTTATTTGTAATTGATAAGAAAAGCAAACAGAAATAATTGTTTTACACATACATCATGCATAGAAAAGAGGTTATTGTGGAGAATGTTGTGGAATTAAAAGTAAAAAAAGTTGTAATAAAATAAAATTTTATTTGTAATTGATAAGAAAAGCAAACAGAAATAATTGTTTTACACATACATCATGCATAGAAAATAGTTTTTAAACTTACTACTTGTAGTAGCTGAATATGTAACTTAAGGTTAACAAAGTTGTAATAAAAAATAAATTTGCAATAGTCGAGAAATGTATACTTATTAAAAATTAATAATTGTTAAACTTACCACTAGTTGCAGATGAAGATATAACAAAAGTAAAAAGTTGTAATAAAAAATAAATATTGCAATTGATGACTTTAAAATTGGTATTAAATATATTTACAGATTAAAAAGTACTAGCTTTTAAAGTTATTAACTGTAGCAACTATAAATAATATAAATATAAATTAAACGAAAACTACTTATATTTGAAATTCTATAATCATTACTAAAAGTTATTTTATACAAATTTACCAGTAGTAGGCTGAGTATATTGGACTTAAAATAACAAAAAAATTATACAATTACACAAAACAGTTGAGTTGTCAACAGTAAGTTATAAAAGTAACAGTCGTCAAATCAGTTTTGTATAAGATGCAACAACTGTATTAACAAAATGAAAATGAACAATGAAAATATAACAATAAAAATAAAAAATATATATATTTATAAACAATAAGCTAACATTACGAATGGTTATATACTTTGTTTATATATAAATTATGTTATATTGGTTATATACAACCAATAATTACTTTATAACTAAAGTTATATATAATCTTATGTATACTTTTGGAATCTTAAAAATAAGCATAATGTTTGGCAGGATCCAAACAATAAGTAAACAAAGGACATGCTTGTACTGTGGTTTAAATAATAATCCACAGATAAAGAAGTATACAATCAAAAATGATGAAAGGTGATAAAATATTGTCTTTGATTATATTTGAAAAACACTGACAAGTCTTTTTTAAGTAATAAACTAATAAAGATTTTTTTGTATATGATTTGTATACTTGTTTATATGTGGTGCCTTAATAAAATTGTCAACAGATACAATCAGTTAACAATCCATTTAAAATCAAAAGCTTGAATCTGAAACGTTATTCTTTTTTATTTATGTAACATAAAAAAAAGATTAAGCCTTAATCTTTCAAAAAATATTGATAAAAGTAAAACCTTAATTTAAAGTTTTACTTTTATCAATATTTTTTTATTTACAATATTTATTATTAATATTGTTATGAAAAAAAAAATTAAACTTGCTATCTGTGAGAGAGTCAAGTAGACTTTGTTTACTTTTTCCATTATAATTTAAATCTATTATTAAAAATCAAAATAATACAATATTGGAATTTATTCTTGAAGAGTCGCCCCCGTATTTTGCTTAACTTAAAAAACAACAACAAAACCAAAATAAGGTATCAAAAGTTCAACACTAATTATACTATCTGCTACCAATTATATTTCGGAGAAAATGCATGTAAACAATAGGCAAACTAATAAAAAAAAGCGGGATCAACATTCCTTCAAAAACAAGTTAATGTGAAAACAGGACAAAATTTTGATGCAATATTGTCAGCAAATAATTCATATAAAAGTTTATTAACCATACATAAAAGTCATATAAAAATTTAGATTAACCTTTCTTCTTAATAAAAACAATTTATGTTTTTACATGTTTCTAAAAAAAAACACAACAATAAACGTTTGCCTAAGGCAACTTAAAAAGTGGTATACGTAATGTAACACATTTTAAACTGCTACCAATTATTTTTCGTTGAAATTTGGCATTTGCATAGAAAATGCATGTAAAAAACTGTCTAAATAAAGAAGTAAGCAGAATCAACATTTCTTTGACTACAAATTTATTTGAGAACATCAACCAAATATTTATGAACAAATAATCGATAAAAAAGTTTAGTAACTATACATAAATTTCTTTAAAAAAGAAAGATTACCTTTTCTTTTTTCAAAAAAGTATCTGTGTGTATATATGTTTCTAAAAAGAAACTCTACAAAACTACGTTTTCCTCACGATCCCTAAAAAAGAGTTAAAAAAACGAGAACCAAAATTTAAGCATAAAAATCGGTTCCGTAAATCGCGATTTCCGCATACCTACCATGGCATCTATTATTAACGCACAATCTTTGTAATTAATGTCAGCCTCTGTTTTTATACTATTACTACTTAAAACATCTTCAAAAAAACTAGGTTCACAATCTACAGCAGAATTCCAGTTGGCTGAAAGAATGTAAATAGAAAAAGCTTGAAGAATGTAAATAGAGTGTAGGCCATAGAAAGTTGTATGACAAGTAAAAATGCAAAGTTAATTCAAATATTTTAATTTCATCAGTGTACTTAAACCTTTTAGGAAATGAAGTTTTGTTTTTAAACTGATTTTTTATATCAAAAGTTAAACCACTAAAGTTTTCACAAAGAACATTAGAAGCATCTAAAGAAATTTTTTTTTAACCATCTTATAACATTTCTCATTTTTTAACCATCAATAACAATTAATGAATTTACTTTTTTTTCTTTTCGTCAAAACTTGTTTAAGAATTTTAATTTTTGCTTTTAATTTTGATTTGGTTGGACTTGCATTTGTTGATAGTGTACTTTTAAAAATGATAGTATCAGCATTAATAAATTTGTTACTATTTTTAGCAACATTATTGTTATTATTTATATCCACCTGGCAATCAATACTCTCTGTTGTTTCTGAAATAACACTATTGCAATAGAAATTTATGTTTCCATGGAAACATAAATTTCGTTACTATCGGCAGCAGCATTATTGTTATCATTTATATCCAACCGAAATTCGATAAGATACAACTGCATATTTCTGAAAAGTTAACTTTCTTAATGAGTATCTTTTTATTTGTTTGTGGCAATATAGAACTAAAATTTCTTTTGACTTTTGGTTTTGAATCAATAATAAAAGATGGGTTTTAATTTAGGTTTGTTATTAAAACCAGGTATATTTTAAACTGAAGAAAAAAAGTGATCACTATATATGTGGCAATCTTTTACGTTTTAAAGCAAACTTAAATCCACTTTTGACAGAGTTCGCTATTATTAATTGGAAATGTATAAAATGCTTTATTCTGCCGTAATTTGGCAAAAGGAAGCATGTTACATTATTACCATAATATGTGTTATGATGTTTTTCATCAGAGGAAGCATGTTGCTATTATAGTAACATGCTTCCTCTCATAAAAACATCTATGCACTGTGCAGAGAATTTACTTTAAACTATAGCAACAGGCTTCCTCTCATGAAAAGCATCGTAACTCATAATATGGTAATAATGTAACATGCTTCCTTTTGCCAATTTACGGCAGTATTGTTGCTTTTCATTGCTCCATTTGTGCAACCTGATGTAGCTCAAGAACTAACCATGAATATTAAATATTATTTGATACAAACAACCGTAATTTATTTGATATTTTTTCAATTTTTTTTTTTTTTAATTTAAAATTTTACATTAACGGGAAGTTAGACGTGTAATAATTATTCTTGATATATGCTTAGGTCTCAAATGTTACGATTTTTTTTAAATGAAGCCCAGAATTCACTTCGGTTATGGCGTGGTCGTGTATTTAAAACTAATGTTTAATTAAATGTTTTGAAAATTGTATAATGTAAATGAGGGCATATAAGCAACCAAGTTGAGGAAAGTATGTGCCACTTATACTGAGATGGCCTATATACTGGATTGTGTATTGTTAATCGCGAGAAAAGAAACATCTTCATAATTCATTTGAAACTCGCCTGTTAATTTGTTACAGTTTTAATATTTTAGTACTGTTTTAAAAAGCATATATTATCTCCCGAACAAATACGTATAATTAGATACGACAGTGACTAATAAACAAAAAGTTCTTTAAAATCATATTTAACCTTATAAGCAAGACAAAAAAAAAGCAAATTTACCACATTTTTAATAACTTCTTATCAGGTTAAGTTGAGTATCTTAAAATTAAAAATATATATATCTATTCTGATTTAACCTTTATGTATATGTGTAATATAAAACGTGATGTAATTATTTTAAGCACAGGTTTGTTTATATACAGGCTGTATATAAATATCGCTGTATTTTAGCATTATTTGGAATTTCAGACAAACGTCAGGTTTATTGAACTGGGATAAATCCAGTCTAGTTGGACTTTATATGTTGATTACTTTGTAAATTCAAAAATATTTTGTTAATATGCAGATAATGTTATTACTTTATTTAGTATATTTTCTCAATTATTTGTTATGAGATGTTTGTTAACATTGCTTTTTTGTTTAACTGAAATCCTATGACATGTTTTTTAAAGTGTATTTTTGGTTAGTGCACATTAATATACATTTTTGCTATTTTATTATAAACAACTAAATAAGATTTTTTTCAAACTTAAATTGACTAAATTTTTTTTTTAAATTTAAATTGACTAAATTTTGTTTTTAAAAGTGGATAGTCACATAGCTTACTATAATGCTGAAAATGTATTTTTAAAAAGACTTTTAAAAATACATTTATTGTAGAATCGAATAATATTTATAATTTTTAATAAACAGTTGAGCTTTAACAGTTCCCTATTCTAAACATTAATTAGTGTATAGTTTAACAAACTATATGATTTATGATTATTTGAATAATATTTTAATTATATATATATACTGAAATAATGTCGTACTAAAAATAACATACTGAAATAACATCATACTGAAATAACCTGTTGTAGGGGGCTTCAGGTAATACATCGGCTAACATAATAGCCTGATTCACAGTGGAATTCTGCTACATTCACTGAGGGTTTTGCATGGGGCAGCAATCTTTTCTTTCATTATTCTTTATTTTTGTCTTTTTCTGAAAATTCATGTTTAATTTATGTAAAAAAATATGGTAACAATTTGTTACATAAATATGCTATAGTAGATATATATATATATATATATATATATATATATATATATATATATATATATATATATATATATATATATATATATATATATATATATATATATATAATTATACATGTGTGTGCACATGTGTAAGAAGATTGTTAGAATTCTATTTTGTCCACATTATAAAGTTTTGAAGTTTTTTTGTTTAAAGTTATAAACAGTCAGTTGGCTGACTAGCATTCACAGTATGTATAAGCAATAAGTGTGAATAAGTTGTAAAAACTTGACTAAATGTCAATCTGAATACATGCAAACTTGTATGTTTTTTAAACAGTTTACAAAATCAAAACAAATTTTTATAGTCTAAAAGCACCTGCAATAAGATTTTGCATTTTTTCAACAAAATTAAAAAAAAACACTGATGCTTTTTCACTCGATAAGCGTTGTATTTTATATCTTTTTTTCTTGAACTATATATTTTTTATATATATATAAATATTTTTTTTATTATTTAGTATTAATTGCTCTTCCTTGTAAACTTAGGAATAGGTTTAGAAATAGGGTTGCAAATTGTCCGTCTTTTATGAAGGAGGACACAGTAAAAATATTTATTTTTAATGGTTTAGCACTGTAATCTCCATTATAAAAGCCGGACATCTAGCAACCCTTGGAATAGGTGTATTATAGTGTAGATGCATCAATTTTGGAGTTATAGCAATTTTTCTTTAAACTTTTTAAACAATATAAGTTTGTAACTAAATAATAATCACAGTTCTGATATCTTATATTATTCCTTTTACATATGATAGCTTATGAGTTAAGCTTCGTATTACTTGGATATGTTTGCATAAAATTATATAATTTTTTTGCTTTTAAGAAATTAAAGCTTTTCTCTAAAAAATGACAGCCAACGATGACTTTGATGTGGATGATTTGCTAGAAGCTCCATATAAAAAGCCAGTAAGTTGAATTTAGGCAACTTTTTTATATTTTGCAGTTTTTATAGCTTTGTGTTTTTAAATTTTATGTTATTTAATTGCAATTTCTCTTGCTTTTTCCCAAAAAAAAAAATTGTATGTCACCTTTTTTTTTTTTTTTTTTTTAGGAAATTATAAGCTAGTAATTAAGTGAAATACACAGTTGATTGTTAAAAAGTGTAAATATATTTTGAAATAATAGTTGATTCAGATTAGTTTTTTATAAGTAAATTTTTTATGACCCAAGTGGTCTTGGCTTGCTATCTCTTAAATATATTTCTATCAACTAATATATTACATATGTGTTTATTATAATATTCTACCTAATTGTTTTCTGCCTGTTGGCATCGCAAGGTATGTTCTAAATTTTACTCTGTTATAGAATCATTGTCAGCCTGTATTATAAATTAAGACAATTCAATATATACATAAAAAATAATTGTACATTTTATCAATAAGTCTTTACGCCTTATTATTTTTATTTTGTAAAATTATAGGAGGAAAATGGAAATGATGATGGAAAAAAAAGTGGTACTGATAGTGGAGATGATAACAGAAAGAAAAAAAAAAGGTTGCTTTAATAAGATATCTTTATATTTTATTAGTTCAATTTTATGCTCTTTTTTATTGACTTATTTAAAAAGGTATTATATTATGTAAATATCTGCAGAAGTTGAATTTAGTGATTGTAAGACATAGTAAGGCCTCTAATTGTATACTCAATTACTTTATGATTTATATTTACTGAAGTTGCTCCATCATTGATTCGCCCCTTATAGTATTCTTAAGCGATCTAGCAGAGGTTGATACAGAATTTAGATATGGTAAAGTGAAATTGCTATTTAAGTTTAAAAAGTAATTTGAAGAATTTTATACCTATGAATATATATTAAGAATAATAAGAATTTTATACCTGATAACTAACATGTGAATTTATTAAGATTCATTTGCAGGGTAAAGGAAATGTAGCTTTCTCATTTAAAAATTATCTTGAACGCCCTTGAGAAATTTTTTTTTACCTTCTATAATAAATATCTGTATCAACCCCTAGTAAATAGTAATTTGTTTATTTTAGTTTTAAACATATAAGACTTTTTTTTATAATTTATAAAATAACTGGTAAGTCTTATTTTTATAGTAAAAATATTTTTAATGTATTATTTAAATAGGTTTAGATATTTTAAGAGGTTCTACTTTTACAAGAAAATCTTTTCTTGTTCTTCTAGATCTCCTCATTTGGAACCCATCTCAAAAATGCTGCCTACCTACTATATGTTTATTGTCTCCTTTCTTTTTGTACTGTCAATGTTTTTTAAAGTTCATACATGGCAATAATGTAAATTATTGTTATATGGGGAAATTTTCTTAAAATTTGTTCAGCTAATTTGTTGATGTTGGTGTTAATCTTGAAACTTAATTTGAAGGATTTAAATTGTTAAATTTTATAAATGATGTTTTTTTTTAGGATTTTGTTGATAACATGACATCCAAGAGTTTTTTTTTTTGTTAGGTTTTAGTTTTATTAGATGCAAAATATTTCAGAATAAAAAAATACCTTTGTTTGCACACAACCAGTTTATTTACACTATCATCTTTTATTGTGATTTTAGAAAGACTACAGTTTTGAAACCAGACAACTTGCATTATTTATAAAATGGTTTTAATTTGAGTTTAAATTTGGTCAACTATTAATTTTTTCTTAGCTATATTAGATAATAACATAAATGTTATTATTTAATATAGTTTGCTAAAACTAATTTGCTCTAATTAGTAAAAAGTAGAAAAGGATTTTAAATATATATAAATAAACATCATTGTTTTTAATCTATTTAAAAGGTCATAATAGATAATTTATTGCTTAAATTTTTTGCAAATGATTATTTGATTGATTCAAGATTAAAAAAAAAAGCAATGTTAATTTTTTTATTACTCTTTAAACAAATGAGTTCTGAAGAAAAAGTAAAAAAAAAAAAAAACAAATTATAATGTCTATAAAAACTGATTGAAATAACTTTCTTAAATGTTATAACTATTTTACAAAGTTTAGAAAGAAATACTAAACTCGATTTTTTTTGTTTTTGTTTTTTTTATTGGGTTATTTGGTTTTGTAGCAGGGTCACAAATGGCAATCAAAGAACTAAATAGAAGATTTACTTCTAATTAGAAGTAAATTTCTAAATAGGTTTTTTAATCTACCTGCTTTATCCTACTGGTACTATTTTTTTTTTTTAACTGGGTATACTCTAACTTAATTTGCAGTAGCTGATGTTTGAGAACTTCCTGACATGAATTTTGATGTTTAAGATTTAATTGTGAATAATAAATAATATTTTGTCATTTTATCAATATTTGGGGCAGTTAAAGTCAAAATTTTAGGGCATTTTTGTTTTCAAACACAATTTTTTACAAAGCATTCTTTTTTGATATGAGTATAAACGTAATATGTTTGGAGTCATCTCAAATATAAAAAAATGCTGAATTTGCTTCTGATTTATTATTTTGTAAATTTATTAAAAACAATTTTTTTTTTTTGGTGTTACTATATAATTTTTATATTCATTATATATATATATATATATATATATATATATATATATATATATATATATATATATATATAATATATATATAATATATATATAATATATATATATATAATATATATATAATATATATATAATATATATATAATATATATATATAATATATATATATATATATATATATATATATATATATATATATATATATATATATATATTATGTATATATATATATATATTATGTATATATATATATATATACATACATACATACAGGGGCAAATGCAGCATTTTTTGATGTTTGAGATAACTAACTTACAGACATTAAACAAACTCCAAACATTTATATGTTTATACATATGTCAAATAAAGATACTTGACAAAAAATTGCAATGATTTGAGTCTAGGATAAAAAAGCCCTAAAATTTTGTCCACAACTGCCCCAAACAATAAGAGCAACAAATTTATAATTTTTTTTTTACTATTCTCATCTAATTTATTATTCATCATTAAATTTGAAATTTTGTAATATAATTTCTCAGCCTTCAAAAATTATGACTATATAAAGTTTGAACTTCTATCAATTTGAAGAGTTAAGAATTTTATAAGGTTATAAGTTTTAAAGGCTAAGTGGTTATTGTATGAAATTTAAAATGTGTTCTCAAGGTCTGATCATTGTGATTTTTTGCAAACCATAATTATTTGACATGAGTATAAACATAAAAATGTTTGTGGTATGCTCCGTCTGGAAGTTAGCCATCTCAAACATCAAAAAGTATTTTTTATTTATACAACATCATTTTTTATTTATTATATATGGTTCATTTTTTGTATACAATTTTTAGACAAATTTGAAAAATATTAGTATTGATAAAGTATAAATGAAAAATAAATGCATAACATCGCATGTTAACTTGTACATTTTAAAATTACTTTTCAATGTGCTAATTACTGCAGTTATTCATATATCAATTACTAAAGTTGTTCATATATCAATTACTGCATCTATTCATATATCAATTACTGCAGTTATACATATATCAATTACTGCAGTTATTCATATATCAATTACTGCAGTTATTCATATATCAATTACTGCAGTTATTTATATATCAATTACTACCATTTTTATATGTAACAGTAACATTTTTAAAATATAATAGCTATTGTAATTAAATTCAATTTAGCTGAGTAGGAATAGAAAGAAACTTTTTAGGTAGTTATTTAACAGATTGTGTAAGTATATTAGTATAATTATTTTGTAAGTAGTTATGTTACAAAATTCTCGCTAATTGATTGATAGAATTATAAATAAATTTTTTATTTTATGCACTTACTGTCATTAAATGAAATATTTTTGTTTAAAAATTTATAATTATAAATTATAATTTTCTATTAAGGCTTTTTTTTTTTTTTTTTTTTTTTTTTTGCAACTGAAAACTTCATGCAGTTTTAATTACAATATGAGCACTTTTAAGCAATAGCTGTCAGGGCACATTGTGTCACTCTGCATTTTATTGAAAATCAACTTTTGATATTTTTATATTTTGTTAAAAAATAATAACTGAAAATACAAACATTTGTCAGGACAAATCATTTAGTATAGTTTAAATGGAGAATAATACACCTTAATGGGTAGTTTTTTTTTTCTTTGCTTGAGGGGTTAAGATTTTTTATGCTTATATTTCCTACTTTTATATAATTTAAATTTTTTTTCAAATAAATTGTTTGTTTTGATAAATTTATTTCATTTATAGTTTAGAACTTTCTTTGTCTTGGTGTGAAGACACTATTTTCATCAATATTATACAGATCAATATAAATTTGAAGGCTAGTAAAAATAGATTTAATGTATTACTCTAAATTAGTTAAATTTAGCTGGCATAAATAAAGTTAAAAACCAACAATTCTAAAAATCATTCACAGAATAATTCTAAAGCTCTTTGTTTTATATTGTAGGTACAGAGTTTTTTTAAATATAGGGTTGTTTGAATGATGAGATTTAGCGTGGCAGTAGTCTCAGAAGATGACTTTAAAGGTTATTTATTCTTGATGGGTGTTATCTATTCCTCAAAAAGAGCCAAGTATCAAAGAATTAATAGCATATTAAAAATTAAGAATTGGAGATGTTGGTTTATTTGTGTAAATAATTTGTATACCTAATTATTTAATTATTTTATTAATTTGATTTTCAGCAAAGATGACAGAAAATCAAGAGATTCAAAGCGTAGTCGATCAAGATCAAAAGATCGCAAAAAGTAATTTGTGTTTTTTTTTTTTTTTTTCTTTTCTTTTCTTTTCTTCTTTTATAGTTGTAAAATCTCTGATTAGGACCTCTGAGAGACCTTGAGTTTTTATTTTACTTAGGCTATGATGTCTCAGATTTAAGGCATTGATGGCACAACAGCTAAACCAAACATTAGCAGTTTGAATATCTATTTTTACAATTAAGAAATTTTAAAAATAGATATATAAAATACAGCCTCAGAATTAAAGTTCTATGAATGGTGACACAATGTTGACATTTAGCAACAAAAAAAAAATAAACATAAATATTTACAGTGTGAAACACAATATTTTGCTTACAATACAATTTTTCTGTTCTAACTTTTCATCCCGCGTGTTGTATTCAAGATTTATGGGTTTTTGAGATTTTGAAAAATGTGTAAATTATGGAGCGGATTTACTGATTGCCTTTTTTATAAAACAAGAAATCTAATAGTGTTATACAAAATATAAAAAAAAATTGAAAGGAAAAGGTTGCTGAAAACAAACATAGAAGTGTAAATTTTTTTTTGATTTGTTTTAAAGACGATGTGAAGCATGACAACCTTGTCAAGTTTAATTGAATTTTGTTTAAAGTATTTTCAGAATTTCTTTAAGCATAAAGATAATAAAATTATAACAGTAGTATTTGTTAAAAGTTGTTATCATATAAGCGAAGAAGATAAAGTACAAATTCAGCAACAACTTTTAAATGCAGTACAATATCAACAACAACTTGCAATTGTTTCAGATTTAATTCAGAACAGCTTTTGGTATTATCTTGTTATCAAAGATTTAAAATTAAAATTATTTTTGAAAGGATTTTTAGAAGAGTTTAAAAAACAAAGATAAACATGAAAAATGTTTATAACAGAAACCATTTTAGCTTTAGTAGATTTTAATCAATTTTTTAATTTTTGTTGATTTAATAAAAAAATCAAAGTTTGATAGTTGACTACCAAGAATATGGATCATCTGTAAGAAAGCAAAAGTGGATCTATGAAGCTCATATACTATGAAGTTGACTAAAAAATAGTTTTTATAATATTTTTAAACTTTGAAACCTTTTACTTTTTTTTTTTAAATAGTAACTGAATTTATTAAAGTTTTAACATATGTCTAAATAGTATAATTTTGGTATTCCTCTATAGCTGACAAATCTTAAAATGTTAATTAGAATATTTTATCGGAATATAGTTAAAGTAATTACAGAAAATTAATTAAAACTTTAATTGAGTTCAGGTTTAGAACAGAAAGTTCAAAGAAAAAAAAATTACAAATATAAAGTTATTGCAATCAATCAAAGATAGTCACTACCTAATAGTGTCTACATTTTGATTGATAGCAAAGTCATCTCTTTGTTGATTCGGCCAGTTTCATGCATATTTTATATAGCACCTTTAATAATTGAATTTAATGACTTATCAATTAGGCAAAATTTATGATCAAATCTTTTCAATAGGGTTAAGGTCTAATGATCTAGGGTATCAAATCAACATAATGATGTTTGTGTTGCGATGTTGTGTTGTATTAGGGTGTTCCAAAAAAACAATTTTTTAAAAAAATATCTGCTTCCACCCTCTAAATGTGTTTTATATAATAAAATAATACTAGAATTATTTTATTATATAGAACACATTTTAAAATATAATTATTTTAAATATTATCGCCTAAAAATTACATTTTCAACTAAAAATGAAAAATTACATTTTCAACTAAAAATTTTTACAAAAAAGAGTTTATTAAAAAAAATTTTTTACCAATGTTTTTTTATAAAATGATGATTATTTTTGAAAATTTTACATAATTCTTCTAAGACCCAATATAATATACTTTTGAAGAACCTGTCTGAAGTTTTTTTGTAATATAATTATTTGATGGACAACATAAGCATTACATGGTTATTTCTTATACATATATGGTTATTTCTTATACATAAAAATTGGTATCAAAGGAAAGATCTTCAAAAAAAAGAAAGCTGTATTTTAGTTTTTTTAGTTTTTTTTTTTTTTAATTTATTGAAAAATCAAATATTAAAAAACTAGGAACAAAAAAAAACTAGTTAACTTATTTCTGAGTAAATTTATTGTGCTACTACTTGGAGAATTACTTTAGATAATATACAAAATAAATATTTACCTAATTATATGTATATATATATATATATAATATATATATATATATATATATATATATATATATAATTATTTTGTAATTTATTTATTTATGTAATTTATTTAATTAACCATTAAAATACAGGGTAGCACTTGATGCTCAATATTTATAACTAATTTTTAATTTTTGTAAATTAAAAATAATGTCAGTCTTAATAATATTTTTTTAAATACCATCAAAGCTGTTTTATTTGTATCTTTTGCTTTTATGATATTTTGATGTTTGAGAGCCGATGTTAAATAATTATTTTTTGGTTATTTAAATAGAAAAAGCCGGTCCCGCTCTCGAGATAGAAGAAGGTAATTATTTAATGGTTTAATGTGGTAAAATAAATTGAATTTATTATTTTTTTTAATTTTATTTATTATTTGTTTTTTCTAAAACAACAAGATAATTAGGGGTGTGGAGCTAGATTAAAAAAATTTAAATCCTTGCATTTATTTATTAATAAAAATTTTATATAAGATTCTTCCTTATGATCTTTGTTTTGTTTAAAGACACTTTTTACTCTAAATAGCATTGCAACTAGGTTTCTTTACAATTAAGTGGATATATAAAGTTTATGTTTTGCTTAACCGAATAAAGAAAGCCTAATAAATTACACACACTCTGGATTTAAAATGAGACAAATGTTTTTATTACTGTGAAAGGTTGTGTATTGTTAATGGCATTGTCTTTAATTCTTAAAAAAGATGTTGCTTTTTAGTGAACAAAAATAGTTAACTAATTTAATAGTTAACTAATTAATGTTTTTTTTTTTAAATTATTTCATTAATAGATTTTTTTTTCTATGCTTAAATTTTTGGTGTTTTGACTATTAAACTAAATATTTTGTTATGTGCAAAAAATGGCAAACAAAAAAAATTAAAATGGTACCAGGCTATGTATATTCATAACAAATAACTCAAGCAAGAAATTAGCAATATTTTTATCTGCCTGATGGGCAATTGGATATAAATCTAACATTACACCAATGAAACGTTGGGCATTAGCTCCACACCTTCTATGGTAAAATATCAAATCATTTAAATTAAGGTGTATAAGACACTTACCCTAAAAGTGAAAATTTTAGAGACAAGAGATCAAGATCTCCAAGAAGGAGAAGTCGTTCTACTTCTTACGAGCGTCGAAGGTATGGCTGAAATTTTGTCTACGTTTATTTTCAGCTTTATCAATATATACTATTTAGCCACAATAATTATTTTTCAAAACTTTTTCTTAATCGGTAATGTTAGTTATAAAAACCAAAATAGAATAAATATGAAAAAAACTTTATGATATTGTGGTTAAATTTAGTGTGTTTGTTACAACATTTAAGTTTAATTTTGTTTGAGTGTGTTTAATATAACATTGCAACTTGAAAAGAAAAGAAAAAAGAATTTAAATAAAGCATTTAATGAGTTTGTTTCAATAATTTTGTTTTTTACTAACATAAAATATAAATCTTTCTGTTATGCTTAAAATTTCAAAAATGTTTTATTTTGTGGTATTAAAGTAACTAATGTCAGTTTTATTAAAATTTAAGAATTATTTTGTTCAAGACATTTATCTTGAAAGTAAAAACTTTTAGACACGAAAGGAGGTCAAGATCTCCGAGAAGGAGAAGTCGTTCAACTTCTTATGAACGCCAAAGGTACGCCAAAAAGATTTTTTTAAACTTAGTTTACAGATTTATGCTGTTTAGTTGCAAAAAAATGAAATCTATCTGAACAGTATACCTTAAAATTGGATAATTTGACACCCCAAAAAATTAAGTTTTTAATTGAAAAAAAGGTTGCTCATTGTTTTATATTCAGTTTTTTTATATATACCTTATAGTGCAAAAATACTTATAATTAAAAAAAATAAACATTTTTCTATATATATTTTTAGCATTCTAATGCTTTTTAAATTTGTCCCATGGGGGGTGGGGTGATTTTTACTTTTTAAAAAAATGCAAGATATTAACTTAATTCCATATCAACTATGACTGTGTTTAAAACATTTGTTTTTTAATATTTATTACAAAAATCTACAGTAAATTTTTTATTATAATTGTATTAAGTTGAACCAGCAAACTTTTTATAGCTTATTTTTTGTTAAATAAGTAGGTTCAAATAAATTTTAAGTCTGAAACTAAACTTCAAAAACTCAAGGAAAGTGTTTTACTATTACTACAAAATAATGCCATATTTTGGATTATCGCTTAGAAAACAATGTATTACTATAAAAATAAAATGTTCGTAATAAAAATGCCTTGGCAAAACCAAATTTAATTTTTGTAAGAAAAAAATATTGCTATGGTTAGCCATTATAAGGGCCGGCGACACGGGTTTTGAAGTAAGGGGGGGCACAATCATTAATTTGTGAAAAAAATCCTCTATATCAATATCTTTCTTTTAAAAAAAAGAAAAATATTGATATAGAGGTCTTTTAGAAAAAAAGTAGGAAGGGGCATCCCTGTCCCCTCCTCCTCCTCTCTCCCCTCCCCCTTCCCTGAGTTGTCAGTCCTGATTATTTTGTTTACTAAGCACTTTTTTTAAACTAAAATATTTTTCTTTGTTGGTAACAAAATTTTTAAATCAAAATGGAACAATTGACTTTTCATTTCATCATTTTCAAAATGCAGATAAAAAAGTTTTGACAAAACACATTTTTAAGACATGAAATTTTTTTAAAATCATTTATTAAAATTGAAAATTGAAATTGATATGTTTTTTGCAATCAACACCTTAATGTTATAGATTTAACACTGATGAATCAAAATGTTTTTTTTTTCCAAAATCATCAAAGTAATCACAAAAGCAGAAAGTTTATTTGAATAACTAATTGCAGTATAAAGTCATAGTATAAAATATGAAATAAGTATGAAAGTAGTAAATGTATAGTCAGTAAAATTATGTGGTTACATTAACATTCCATTATAAGTGTTTTTGTGTAAGTATTTATTAAAACATTGATTTTTTTTTGTTTGTTTTTTATTTACTTGTGTGCATTTACTAAAACATTTAATTTTGATTTTGTGTGTATTTTTTAATTAATTATTGCAGTTTATTTGAGACAACATTGTGTTATGAACATATTTCAATTATTTTAGGTGAAATATAAATTTTTTTATGTTTTGAAAAAGAAAGTTTTTTAATTTTACTGGTGGTAATAAAATAACAAAACATTTTATTTGTTCCATTGAAGTTTAAAAATTATAGCGTTTGAGACACTTATCTTAAAAGTAAAAATTTTAGACACGAAAGGAGATCAAGATCTCCAAGAAGGAGAAGTCGTTCAACTTCTTATGATTATCAAAGGTACGACTGAGATTTTTAAAAGATTTTCAGCTAACTGAAATAACAAGAAAAAAAATGACAGATAAAGATTGTGGGTATATCTATGGGAATATTTTTACTTTTTTGTCCAAATATGAAAAAAAGTTATTATCAACAGCTTAATAATTCTAAATGGAAACACAAAACATGTATCTGTCATTTTCTCATATTTTTTAGAATTTTAATACAAATTTCAGATTTTATGTATTAAAAGAGTAACCCTAAGCCATAATGTTATTTATCTTTAAGTTAGAAATATAAGAAAATAAAGTATAAATGATCTGTGTGTGTTTTGTTACGCTCCTTTTACTAATTTGTTGGAAAAAATTTCAAAAGTGTTTCATTATAATTTGTATAAATTAGTTTAAAGATATGTATATTGTTTTTATTAAAGATGTGGCAGGTGGTTTCAAAAATATTCATGGGTTTACTCTTCTTTTTTTTTTTTTTTACTTTATATATATATATATATATAATATATATATATATATATATATATATATTCACACCTCTGTAATTAAATCTGAGTATTGGTACAAATTATTACAAAAAAAAGTTTTTTAAAACTAAAATACTAGTAATAATTTTTGTAGAGTTTATCCAAAAAAAAAAGATTTTAATATTCTCTCTAACTAGCAATTTACTCAATTTTTAGTAAAAAAATTTTGTATTAACCATTTTTACAGTATAAATTTTTTGTTTGATAGTTTTTATTATTTTTTTATTTTTTAGAATAATTTTTTTTTAATCCAATGTAGTTTATAAGAATATTGTAGATATGCTTAATTTTTTTAGGAGAAGAAGTCGATCTCCTAGGAGAAGCCCAAGAAGGAGTCCTAGAAGAAGTCCCAGAAGAAGTCCTAGACGAGGTCCTTCAAGTGATCGAGAAGTGTATGTTTTATATTTATATGTACTACTTACAGTCTAGATTTAGGGATGTTTGATTATTTAAATGTATTTACAGTCTAGATTTTTATGTATAGGTACTTACAGTCTTGATTCAGTGAGGCTTGATTGAAGTTCTTAGTTTTTATAATTTCAATCACTACCTAGTTTGTTTTTTAATCTAAACATGCATGAAAATGGTTTTAAGTTTTTAAAAGATTTAACACTACTTGTTGCATAGATCATGTGATTATTAAGATAAAGTTAGTTGCCAAAAAAAATCTTTTCAAATTAAGCAAAGTTTATATTTTCATTAATTTGAAATGAGAGAAACTAAAAAAATAATTAAAAAAAAAGGGATTTTAATTTACCTTTTTTTTTTCCACTTTATAACCATATTTAACAACCTTTTCATTTATGGTATATGTTGATTAAAGTTTCAACACTGAGCAAAAATCTATTGTTGTAAATATATTGAAAGATTACCCAGTACTAACATCAGCGCTCAAAAAATGGGTAAACATTTACGTTCAACTTTATCTGCTACCTAAAAATTTGAAATTTTTTTTTCCCTTGATATTTTTCTGGCTGCTTTAATATTTCTCTATATAAGTTCTCTGTGGTTAGTCTTAGTAACAGCAGTTTAAATTCAACAGCAAGATTTTCGAGCTTTATTTTTACAAGCGTAATGGTGGTGGAAAAAATGATTTTACAAAAAAGTTATTCAAAGTGTAATCATTATTAAAAGACTTTTTTGAGCTTAGCTTTAGTTTGATTTCTACTTTTATTTTTTTGCAGATTTTATTTTTGTCTTGATAAACTTTTCAGCATTGGGCTGTTAACAATTTAAGTTCATTATAAATAGTATTATTAATTTGTAATCAGCCTAACACTGAATCAGCGAAAATTGTTTTTATATAAAGAAAAGTTATTTTTGGTATCTAATCATTTATAAAGAAACATATTGATTAAGTATTTGTAATATTATTAGTAGTGTACTGGATTGGAAATTTTGCATTCCGGCTAGTACCGGAATTATTTAATAAAATTTGATATTTCTGGAACAAGATATATTTATGTAGTTTTTACCTTCAAGATTAAAAGTGAAAGCCTAGACCTCAGAATTGTAGCTACATAATATATATTTATAACCTATAATACATTTTTGATGAAAAAAGAGCTTGTTTGTTGCCCAAAACTGCTCAATATTGTGGTGCAACTCTTTTTGCACCACAATATTCCTTAACTTTTAGAAATCTTTACATATCTGATTACATAAGTGATTACTACAAATAAAAATAGGCAAACCTTCAGATATGCGGTCTAAAATAATTTAATTTTATCGCTTTCGTTTGGAAACTTGCTCTAAGTTCAGGAGTGGCCAGACTTTTTAGGATATAGGCAAAAGTTAAAAAACAATTTTGCTTTATTGGCTTTAGTATATACATCAACTATCTTATAACCTGCTGCTACAAGGGAGTGCTGCTATGTCCATTATCTTATAACCTGCTGCTACAAGGGAGTGTTGCTACATTGACTATCTTATAGTCTGCTGCTACGAGGGAGTATTGCTACATTGACTGAGGGTTTAGCATAAGGCAGCAATCTTTTTTTCTTTTATTATTTTAATAAAAATTTATGTTTAAAAACTCTTCGCTAACAAGAGCGCAACAAGCATAAAAATAAAATTATTTTAGAACGTTAAACTGTGACTTTACCTAAAATTACATTGTATTTGTTAAGAATTGAGTATTTTTTACCTAGGTTTACCCATAGTTCTTCAATGTCTTGTAGGACAATGATTTTTTGATTTACTTAACACAGTTTATGTCACATGTCTTAAATAAATAAGATAAAAAAAAAAATTCCGCCATTCTGGCTGGAACAGAATTCCAATACATCCCTAAATATGATTAACATTATGCAAAAATATAGCAGATTTTAAAAAAATATAATATTTATAAGTAATAAGAAATGCATTTCTAATTGATTTGTGCTTGTGCTATATAAATAGAAGAATGTTTAAGTTATACATTCCATATATTCTGATAGAAGAATGTGGAAACATTCCAGTTACCCCCAAAATTTATTTTAGCGTTGTATTAAGGTTATGAAAGTATAAATATAGTGAGAGGAGCTTTAGAACATAGTCTTTCTCCATAAGTTGTGTTGTTTAGATTCTTTATCTTAGTTACTCTACAGAGAACTCTCTGAAAATTTTTAAGATAACAATAAAGCAATTACAATAAATATTTTGATAACTGTTTTTAGTTTAATAATCATTTTGTAACCAATAAAGTTACTAACACAAGCTTATTTTTTTATTGTATAGGATTCGTCGTAGTAGAGATGGGGTGACTACAATTTCATTGCTATCTGAGTAAGTGTTATTTGTATTGATTTAAATAAAATTTTAAAATAGATACAAAATGGTTTTTAACACTGTATGATCTTAGTCGTGAGCGAGAATGGGATGAAGAACATGTTTCTCAAGAAGAGCGTGATTCCCGCACTGTTTTTATAATGCAGTTAGCTAAACAAGTTACCATTCGTGATATTCAAGATTTTTTCAGTAAAGTTGGACAAGTTCGGGATGTTCGCCTGATATCAGATAGAAACTCTAGACGATCTAAAGGAATTGGTTATGTTGAGTTTACAGATGCCAGTGCTGTTACTTTGGTAAGTTTTTTTAAGCATAAATTACTTCATCATTTTTCAATGCCAAAAAAATTGAGTTTTTTAGACTATAGTAAGTTTAATAAACATATTTTAGAAAGTTAGAATTTTTTTTACACATAATAACTGTCATTGTATTACCACTATAGTTACACACAAAATTTTTAGGCCATAAAATTATCTGGACAAAAACTTCTTGGAGTTCCAATAATGGTATCCCCTACAATGGCTGAAAAGAACCGTTATGCTGCGGCTCAAGCTGCTTTAGTTAAACCGCAAGGTCCTATGAAACTTTATGTTGGATCTCTGCATTACAATATCACTGAGCCAATGCTAAGAGCTATTTTTGAACCTTTTGGAACTGTTGAAAGTGTTCAATTGCAATATGATTCAGAAACCAATCGGTCAAAGGGATTTGGATTTGTAAACTTTAGAGAAGCTGGTGCTGCAAAAAGAGCAATGGAGCAAATGAATGGGTTTGAATTAGCTGGACGACCAATGAAAGTAAATACTGTTTCAGAAAGAACAGATGGTTCTATGTCTTTTCTTGATGATGAAGAAACTGAAAAAGGAGGAATAGAAATGAATGCACAATCACGAGCATCGCTTATGCAAAAACTTGCTCAAACTCATGGTTCAGGTAAACGAAAGCATTTAAAATTATTTCATAATATAAAGATTTTCTTGCTAAGAATAAGTTTTTAACAACTTATTAACAAAAACAAACAAGGTTATTAACAAAATCTTAATAATTAAGTGTAACATACATGTATATGTATGCATTTAATGGTTAAGTGTAACATACATGTATGTGTATGCACATAAATAGAAGAAGAATGTGTATGCACATAAAATAAATAGAAGTTATATAATTCACTAAAATGTTAACTGCACATATCGATCTTTAACTAATTGAATTTCATTCTTTATTAAAACTACACAATTCATTCTGTTTTGGTAGAAATTTGAAATAAATCCTTTCTATAATTGTCTTGTTTCTTTGTATACTGTACTCTAGGTATCCTGGTGTGCTTTCCTATGTTGTTTATGCACAAAACCTCTACAAAGCAATGTAAATACATAAATAATATATTTAAATAAATTACATAAACAATTCATAAAATGTTTTAACATAAGAAAAATTCTAATAAAAAGTGTTTCTTTATTAACAAAAAACTGCTGTAATTGTAATTATAAATTTAAAAATATTCTTTTAAAAATATTGCAAATAAAAATGACTAAATAAATTAAATTTCTTCTACACTGATGAAATTGCAAGACATGTTAAATGACCTTATAAATAGTGGTATAAAATCATAAATAGTAACACAAAACACAAACAATAATTTTTGTAATTAAAAAATATTAATTTTTAATGTTTATATTTTTCAAATTTTTTTTATTTTATTTTGATAGAGTTTGGCGCCAAAATAATCCCATTCTATGCAGCTGCCAATATCTATATCTTAAGATAGCACTTGTTCAATTTATGTTTTTCCCTGGATCAATGTAATATAAATGTAAATTTATAGTTTGAAGTTTTCATAGTATTTTTTGTAAAATACTAGTAAAATTGTAAATGAGCAGTAAAATAAAACAAAATTTTAAAGCTTATATAATCAACAATACAGTAATTAAGCTAAAATAAGATTTCACTTACTTTTGGGTGAATGACCTTGCAGTCCTGGTAAATTTTAAAATGAATAATAATTTTAGATTAAAGTTTTTTTTACTTTAGGAAAACTTATCGTTGTTAATGTAGTTAATGATTTTATTTTAAAAGCATGTTAAAGCTCTGTAAAATTGTCAAGCGTAAGTTGATTAAATATAATATTTAGATTAAATTACTTTTTTTTTTATGTTTATTAAAATTATTTTACAGAACAGCTTTGTTTTTTAGTAGCTACTGCCTATTTGAATTTCTTTTTTTTTAGTTACTGGCTAAATTTTGAAAACTTGATAAAATTTGTTGACAATAAATTCTTAACTAAAATGAAATGTTTATAATAGTTCTCTAAGTCTTACTAAAGTCTTGTTTCTGAACGTATACTTGCGTCCGCAAACATAAAAAATAATATTTTATATTCTAATTTGCCTTCTCCTATAAATCTGAGTTTGTAGACACGAAGGACGTTTAATGTCAGAATAGTAATTCAACAAAGTAGCCAATTTCTTTAGCTATTTTGTTGAACTACTATTCTGACATTAAATGTCCAATCAATAGTAGTTCAACAAAATAGCCAAAAAAATTTGTTTTAAATAGCCAATTTTTTATTATGTAAATATTTATTAAAATCACAGTTAATCTTAAGTAAAATAATTTTAGTGTAACTAAAGTAGCGCATGTCCATTGCGAATTAGGGGCGTAAAATGAACAAAATTTCTCCCTACTTTGATGTAATAATATAATTCACCAAGTATCATTGTATGTTAAAATAGATCTACTTCCAGAATTTTTTTTTTACTGCAATTTAGACATTAGTTTACTCCAAAATTTCGAACCCATAGTTAACTTCTAGTAAAACTTAAAAAAAGCCGGTATCTTAAAAAAAAACTATGGGATTGTACCTGACTAGTTATACTATTGATGTAATATTTGCACCTAACATAATATTTATTTGTTAAGGTTTACAAGTTCCAACTGCTCCTATCATACCTGCTATGCTTCCTACTCCTATGATGAATGTTGCTGGAAGTACCTGTTTAATATTATCTAATCTGTTTGATCCAAGAAAGTAGGATTTTTTGTGTTTTTGTTACATAGTTATTTTACGTTTCATAAAGTTCATGTTTGATGTTTAAGTTTCTAAATAAACTAATAAGATTAAAATAGATTTTAAGTATAAACTATCGTTTTGTTTAAATTTTTTAAAATATTTCTTTTTTGTTCAAGTTAAAACATTTGAGAAAAATATTTTTAAGGGAGACAGAATCTGATTGGGAATTGGATATTAGAAATGATGTTTTAGAAGAGGTTACTAAAATGGGAATTGTTGTCCATATCTCAATTGATAAAATAAGTGCTGAGGTTTGTTTTTTGTTTGATTGTTTCTACATTTTTATTATCAAACACTGTAGACTGTTTAGTTATTAATATCTTTGAATTTTTAAATTTTACTATGAAAACCATATTAATTAAAAGTAAAGAGAATTATATTTTATTTTTTGGCGCTGTTTTCCTAGGGAAATGTATACATTAAAACACTTATTCCGGATACAGCTCAAAAAATATTACAGACATTCAATGGAAGATGGTTTGCAGGTAAATTGACCTTATGTATATTTCATGATCATTTTAAAGTTCAATGATTTAGTTAGTATCGTGTATTGTCTACTATCTATCGGCCATTGCACATTTAGTAGAACATAGTAAAGTTTATATTTGCACTTAAGAAGACTTTAGTAAGTTTGATGTTGTTTTTTGATTTTTGTCGGTATTAAACATAAATATATACGTATTAGAAAAGTTTCAATACTTTTTTGTCATTATCTGTAAATTACTCAACCTGTCAAATCTGTTATATGTGTAATAATTAATCCCATCGTTAGTCAGTTTTTTCCTTTCAGTTTCGACCGCAGTTATGAATACAACATGTAATTTTTTAATAAATCTTTTTTCCCATTTTTTCTTTAGGTCGAACTATTCGTGCAGTAGCAATTCCTGTAGCTAATTATAATACAATGTTTCCAGAAGCTGCCACTGCTGTCAGATCGCTCAAGCCAGATCCGCGTTAGCATCGTGTAGAATCAAATATACATATATGTTACATCAAGATGCTGTTATATCAAGATGGTTTTGTTCGAAAAATATCTTAAGTAAGATTTTAAGCGAATATAACCAAAATCCTACCATTTTCAAATGTTATCAAAGAGTTGACACAAAATGCTAATTTGAATTACTATTTTACTTAGAAGCATTTGTAATGGTTGTTGAAGACATTTTTCTTGCTAAAATATTTGTCTGACATAAGTTGTCTGACACGCAAAGTGTTCAAGATTTTATTGGATAATAAAAACGATTTCGTAAATGTGTATATATTTGGAACCACTAATTTGTTCTAGTCTGGATATAATTATAAATTAAAAATTTATTTTTTTAGCTTCTTTTTTATTTTATCTGATATTCATAACTGCGTGAGAGTTATGAAATAGATTCAGTTGAGAGTTATAGTGTTATTGCTAGATAATTTAAAAATAACTATATGAATATCGTTATACGTTATAGCAAACAAATGATTGTATTGTTATAATAGCCTCATACAACGATGTTGGCTGGATTTCTAATGTTTAATTTGAAATTCTATTTCAATTTAGCCCAGCAACTTCCATTAAATTTTACGACTCTATATGAAATGGATTTTGTAACTAAGTAGATAATAATTTAAAATGTGATGCCATCTATGGGATCGTCCATAAAGTACGTACACTCGGAGAGGGAGAGGAGGTCTGCAAATGGCGTTTCTGAGATAAGGGGGCAGTAGGCCAATTATAAAAGTATGGAGACACTAAATTAAAAAAAATATCATAAAATGTTGGATTAGTAGGTTAAAAGCGTAGGTAATTTTAGGGAGGTAGAGAGTACTCAAAAAAGCGTACGGCAAATTGCAGGTTGTCGAAAAAAAAGCGTACGTACTTCATGGACGACCCCTATCTAAGTAATAACATGTGTTTAAGAATTTCCTCTTTGTTTATTGGAAAGGATATAGTAAAAATATTTTTTTATTTTAAAAAATTATTACGGCTTCACCCACTTATACGCGCAACTTTTGAGTACAAAATGTTGATAATGCGCACGCGTGTGCTCAGGGTAATACCCTAACACGTAATCAAATTCTAGACCGGACATAAAAGTTAAAGTTTTAGCGTGGTGT